CGGCCGTGAGGGAGCCGCCGCGACGGGGCGGCCCCGCCAGCCCCGCACCCGGCACCGAACCCGAACCCGGCACCGACCGCCGGCCCCACATCCGACACCGGCCTCCAGGCCGAATCCGAACCCGGCACCGACCGCAGGCAGCACCCCTTTATGCTTCGCTTGCGTCTTTCCCCTCCGCCGGCACCCGGCGCGCCCCCCGCCCCAGCTCGCGGTCCTGACACCGCCGCTCCCTCAGCCGGCCCTGCCCGGGGATCCACCCTCTCCCCGCACCGGAGTCGCTGGGCCCGTGGCCGGGGTCTCTCCCGGAGCTCGACCCGAGGGAGCCCCCGGGCCCGAGCGAGGTGTCCACACGAGGGTCTTCATTCCCCGTCCAAATGAGAGCCCCCGGCGTCCCCTCGGGAGACGCTCCCTCCGCCATCGGCACCAAGCAGCTCCTCTGACCACTGACTCTCATCTCTGGCCGTGCTTTGCCTCCTCGCCCGTTAAACCCCTCTTACGGCTCATCCTCACCCAGCCGGCGCCCCTGTAAAGCAAACACTGAGATCACACACGGACCCACCGTCACCGTTTTGCCCATCCACGTTCTCTGTTCTCTGGTTCCACAGTTCTCTGGAGCACTAGGAAAAGAGATGGGCTCCATCTGCTTTGTATTCCCTCTGGTTGTCTCATTTGCCAGAGCCTACAATGAGCTAAAAATCAACAAAAACCAGTTGCACAGTTGGGTTTCCAATGCCACCACTTGAATTCAGGGTATCGGTTTCATAAGCAAAAGCAGTACAAACTGAAAGTCAGCCCAAGGCACACAAATATCTTGTATTTTTTACAGCCAGCCTTCCTTTTCATTGCTAGATCAAGACAGCTTCAGGATTTCAGGATATCATTAGAAAATCAGTCTGTTTATATGTTAATTTCTTTCAGTCCCTTGCTTATACATCTGAGCAAGGTAAAACCAACACTGGTCTTGCTACAAACATGGCAGTGACCTGTCCAATGTATAATTTAATTTGCATTCTTCAATAGCAATTTTTGAAGTTCTTTTGTTCATTAACTAGTTGCTCAGGCCGAGCACCTCATTAAACCCACAAACCTGCCACAGCATCAAGCACACAACAACGGCAACAGGGTTTAGCCCAATTTGTACTCTATATCCAACCTTTTATCTGCAACTCTTTTATATTCTGTGTTGCAGCTGCACAGGCCCAAAGCCCTGCTCTGAACACAGGATGACACACACAGCAGCAGCCAACATTGCCCAACCCCACTTACACCTTTCTTCTCAATTTGTGTTCTGAACCTTCCAAGGTACCTTTAGATTGCTGGGGCTGATTTTTGCTACCTCTTACAGGGTGGCAGAGGGTTGTGGTAACTCTTTAAATACATGAATGTACAGACACACATTTTCCATTATCTCCTTCTGGTATCATGGGAAAAACACCTGTGCATTCTGCCATCTATACACTAAGAATCTAGCAAAAGTACCTAGTTCACCTGCTGCACCAACCACACAGCCTGCAGCATTCTGAGAGCATTAACACCTCCAAAATACTGTGGATTTTGTGTCTTTGTGGTAGATCAAAGGTGCTTCTGAACTGTGAACCAGAGTATCTGTCTCTTAATCCCATCCCTTATTAGTTGTGATGTGGAAGTGCTTACACAATAGGACTGAATTTTCATTTTGTAGGTGGGGAAATGGCTGCACAGAGAGGTATGTTACCTTCAGGGACAGGATATAAATTAGTCCTTTCCAACACACAGCTCAGTAGAGAAACCAACCCCAACCCCAAAACCTGCCCATTCCACTCAGAGCAGAACATGCTGATTTGGAACTTGGAGCTCCTATTTGGAGTCTGCTGGTAATCAAATGAGCATATTTATAAGTGAATTGAATATAGCAGGAGGAGGAATTTTTGGGTGGAAGCTCTACCCTGATTCCATCCTTTGTACAGATGGAGAAGATGAACAGCCCAGTTGTTCCAAGCTGTCCTGGGTGGGCTCCTTTCTCCAAGGATAAGGGAAAGAACTTAACCTACAGCTGGGTGGCATTCAGCACAAGTGAGCATATGCTCTTGCTTAAATTATTGAGATGCTTTTGTCCAGTCCTTCACTCCAAACCATTTCATAACTTGTGTTGGGAGTTGTATTCAGGTGTTCAGCTCTCAAATCAGTTCCACGTACACTTTTCAAAGCCACCACAGAGTTGCTGAGTAACGTTACACTAGAGCTCAGCAGCAGACTGGAAGTCAGGTGTAGGAAGGAAGGGCTTACGTGACTTTTGCTGAGGTAATTCAATATAGTTCCAATCATCATTTTATTTAGATGATGAAAACCAAAGTATATTAATATACTGATATGCTGAACTCTACCAATATTCCATCACATAAATAGTAAAAATAACATTGTATTTGCTGTTCTGAAAATGTACTGATTATCTTGTCCCCAACAATCCACTTTATTCTTGACTCAGGAAATTCAGCATTATGCTTCTGTCCCCTTTTTCCCTACTGCAGATGAAGAGTCTCACAAGCATCTTGTAACAAGTCAGCTTTAAGTGAATGCCTCATCAGAAGAATAAGTCAACAGATACCTGTAAAATCCTCAACAAATGTTGTCTACATAAAACTTTAGTTCATCACTTTGTATTTCAAAGAGACTCAAAATCAATCTAAGATATACTTTGAAATGCTAGAATTCAAGCAGCATAGGTGCCATTAACTAAGTTGAGGCGTTCAGTAGTTGAAAAAGCACTTACAGAAAACACACTGATGTAGGTAAGAATGTTCTTATATTAAATTCAAGATAAGTTTTCTTGTCCAAGATACTGAAAGCAACTACTACCATTGCTAAGAAATTCCCCTCTATAAATCTTCAGCTGCTGCTGCAGGGTTTTTTTCAGACTTCTACATACATTTGGCACTGACAGTGTACAAACACAACTAAAGATGTCACCTTCCAGAGCGACTCGAGCCTTTTAACTGTGTGTGCAGCTCCTTCCAAGTCACACAGCCCAAGACAGCAAGTTCTGCCCCCAGCACTTCTGCCACAACCCTCTTGTGTTCAGCCAAGAATCGTGTGGTATTCTAGGCAGTTCTCATGATCACATATCAAAATTCTACATGAAAATATAAGCAAACATCCATCTTCTCATCCAGTCAAAAAGAGATTTTAATACACAAGGTTCAAACTTACAACTCCCATGTAGCTACAGAGTAACCAGGCTCCTCCTATGTAGAAAACAACTTTTGACAGCCCCAATATGGAGTGCTAATACATCCTTGTCATAAAAGGAATCAATACAAAATAAATGTGTTAATGAGCTTCAAATTCAAATGATTTCCAGCACTTCAATAGAATAGGTCTGAGATTCTCTCAGGTGGTTCAGTCTTTGTAATTCCCGCAAACTTCCTTCAATCTTGTTGAGTTCTGAGTAGAACCGTACCTGAAAAGAAGAAAACAGAGACATTTATAGTAAAACACACTTTAATTATTTTCATACATCATCATACTGTGCAACTCTCTGTGGTTCTGCACAGCTTAAGATATTTAAACCAAATAAAGCAGCTTTTGAAATCCAAATGAGACAGAGGCAACTGCAATTCATGCTCAGGAAGGAGCATACAGAGGAGGACAGACATGATTTGATTCACTATATAATTTGTTGTTGTCTGTCTCACCCTGTTCTCACATCCATATTCTCAATGCAACTGAAAATCAAATAATTGTCCCAGAAGATGCAACTTACTTGGGCTCTCACAAACTTATGCAGGTTTGAAAGCAAGTCCTTTGCTTCTGGAAGCATCACCATGACAGTGAACTGAGCATCAAGCAACAGGCACATCCAATCCATGATCTGAAAACAAACAAGAAAAGTCCACTTACACTTCCCAGTCTGGAAATAACACACATTTGGCTTTAAAAGCCCTGGGTTCATATGTTCAGGCATATTTTAAGGTATATTTGCATTTTGATTGTTAAAGTGTTACATTTGACTTCATTCAGGTTACATTAACAGGTCCTTGCAGAATGAATGCAGAGGTCAGCTGATTTTAGATATTCCCAACTCCTCACAGTTACACACCCCAGAAAGAGAAGGAAGCACAGCTCATAGAATGAGCTGCTCACCTGATTTATCGTGGGAGAGCGTATTCCAGGAAGAGTGGTGTTCACTTTTTCACTGCATTTCACATACAGGTAATACAAATACCTGAGAAATAGCTGAAAGTAGAAAAGTCAGAACATTTGTAAAGGACAAACGTTTAATGGACCAAGGGATTTTGTCCTGCACATGGTAATACTCATAAGGGTTTTTATAAATTTATTTTTTGGTTTTGAATGCAATATAGATGCCTGTATACTACACATTACAAACAAGTTTTATGGTTCTCTTACACCACCCATAGCTGGATGTTTTGAAGATTCTCAGCAATATTCAGAGTAAATTACATTCAGGGGTAATCACTGTTCCAGGGGATGTGTCAGAGCTGGGATCAGCTTTGTTCTGACGTGTGAAGTTTTTCTAAAATCATTGGAAAATCACACATATGCTCAGGTACACACATAGTTCTTGAAGTTATATTTCAGATTTTGACAAACAGGGGAGTTTGGTGGGTTTTTTCCTAAACTGAGGTGATCTAGATTTGTATTACTTGACGTGTGGGGTTTTTCTAAAATCACTGGAAAAATCACACATATACTCAGGTACACACATAGTTCTTGAAGTTGTATTTCAGATCTTGAGAAACAGGGGAGTTTGGTGGGTTTTTTCCTAAACTGAGGTGATCTAGATTTGTATTACATTTGGGATTCTACAGAGTTTGTTCCTCATATTTTCTAAACTTGTGTTCCTGATAGGACTGACTAAATTACTATGTCTTTTTCCTTTCTTAAAAAACATCTAAAGCAAGGGAAGGTATTATTATTTGCTAACACAATATGAACTTCTTCCAGGTATGCTGGGTCATAAAGAGAGTTTCTTACTTACATCTTCTAAAATAAGCAACTACTAGAAATATCAAGAAAATTATGTAAGCATATGGAAAAATGTGATATTCCTTAATATTAAATCTTATTAGGCATCCTGATTTCATTGTCATGCATTAGTTTGTTATTCAGACTCCTGAAAGAATGGTGAATTTCTCATATATAATAGAAAAAAATCTCATCCCTTTCCTTCACCATGAAATAATAAGTGCTTTTACACTTTTTAATGTTAAAATACTTACAATAGCTTGTTGAGCTGGAAGGTTTTTCAGGTGAGGCAAAAGAAATGTTTCAGTGTAAGCTGAATGGAGAACAGAATTTCTGTGCAGTGCTGTTAAGGGAATAACATTGCAGGAAAAATACCAGTTTCTACAAACCAGAGTGAATTCTAAAGAAAATATTTCTCCAGGTTTTTGAGAGAAGCTCTATTTGAATCTTATTTCTATCATGAAATATCTACAGCAACGGAACCATTATGAAAGACTGAACTTGAACAGTTCTGTCCACTGCAAGGGTGTAACTGCCTGGTGTGTTTTAACAGGCAAATATCCAAAGCACTGATACCTTTTCTCCTAAGCAGAGAAAAATTACTGCAGAAGTGTAATAAAACTAAGTTTAAATTGGTACATTCTAAAAGCTAAATGTTTCTACTCATATTTTCTACTGAGCAGGAACAGCTCTTATGAGAACTGAAACTTTTAGCAACAGAGGATGTGCCTTTTGGCAACCCCAAATATAAACATCCACAGCACGTGCAACGCTCTGGCTTCCCTTCACCACACACAGGATACAGCAATGCTGCCTTCTGAAGGCCAACAGGGCAGGATTCACCATCTCTCTGGCTCTCCTTTGGGATTTTGGTATCACACATGTCCTGGTCCATCTCTTCACTGAAACCATTTTCTAGAATTTCACTCTTAACTTCCATATCGTTCAATTCAACATCGATGTAACAGATGACAGAATCCAGATTTACATCCATACTTTTAAGATGGTCTTCACTCATGCTGTAGAAAAAAATTTCAGACATTTAACACTTTTAATTATTAGCTTTAAAATCAGCAATCCCATCAACGCATATAATGAACTCTTCAAAGCTGATTATGAAAACAAAAACAGACTAAAATTTGGTGAAGAAAAAAAGGAGAGACTGATTTCGAGTTACCTTAAAAATGCTGTCAGGCAAGCATAAGTAATCTCTTCAGGAATATCTGGAAACCGTTCTAGGCAGATTTGTAAGAGATGCATGTCTTTTTTCTCCAAAGCAACAGCCATTAAATCTGGACATAAACTATAAGAATATAAAATTAATGGGTTGCACAGTTCACACTGAGAACTACACTGGCAACTAAGGCAGTGATACTAATCTTCCTCCCCAGATGGATTTTTATGCAAAACACCAACTTCATCAGAAAATAAACACCTTTGGTACTAAATTCTGATAAGTCAAGAGCAGCTTATAAAGAACTTTATTTCTACTTTTTTAATTTTAAAGACTACTCCTTACACTTTAAAAAATGCAGAGTCACTACCTGTAGGAGAAGTCCCGGGTTTCAACGATCTCCTGCAGCAAATTTTGAGGGTAGTACTTTGGATTTTCTTTACATCTGTCTGTAACAGCAGTGACCACACAGCCAATAGTGGCTTGCAGATCTAGGGTTGATGGTCTTGACATCAGTTTTTTCATTTCAACTTCCAACATGAAACTAGGAGCACCCTGGAAAAGACAAATAATGTGCAACTCAGAAGTACAAGGCACACATTTGAGAACTACCCTGGCATTAATTAGAACAAGTAGAAGCAGACCTATTCTGGAATTCAAGTTACAAAAATTTACAGAAATCCCTCACCACTCTGTGTTTTGATAGGATAGATTCTCTCAAACATGAAAGAGCTAAATGAGGAGATTCCTTGCTCTGAATTTAGGCAAGCAGTAACTGCTCATTAATCACCTGTTTCATCAGTGACCATACCAAGGTGTGCAGCCACAGGTGAACTGTAGGTAAGTTTCCCTTCCTGTGTGACCTATCACAGCACTTGCAGCAAATTCTAGAAAGGAACTAAAGAGCTTATTGCTAAATTTACTGGAATTCCAGGAATTCAGTGGAATTCCTGACAATTCCAACTTCCTATGGCCAAAATGCCTTCAACAAAATTAAGGCCATAAATAAGAACATAAACAAGCAAAGTTCAGATGAAACATCCTCCCTTATTTACTGTAAGAGACTGTCCATTAAAAATGAACAAATGTATGCAAGTTTCCAGAACTCAGCTGTTATAAGCCAGGTACAGTTCTCAAAACACACTCCTATGACAAAACTTAATTTCATCATGCCCAATAATGACAATAACAATATCCTTCATCTCACCTGTTCAAGGCAGCTTGGTCAACCTGATATGTGCAAGAGGACATGGAAAGAGGTAACAGCTTAAGAGACACCTAGAATATCCTGAGAGTGCCTAAATACTACTTGGGGATATTTGGGTTACTTACTTTGAGTTTTAGCAAGAGCTCCCCAACTGATAATGTCCTTGACTGTTCAGCAACAGTGCTCGCTCTTGATCTCAACTGTGGTGAAGAAAAGCACAGAGTTATTACTCAGCTCCAAAATATTTCAGGATTTCAAGCAAAATAAAAGGACACTTCACGTGTCAACTTGCTGTCCAGACTATAATTACTAACTCTAATTCCAGAAATAGTGTTAGAAACAATCAGGAACAGATAAAGTGAAATTTCTTTCTGCTGCAACACCTAAGAGTAGCAGCATGGGGAAGAGACAAGACAAACAACCACCTCAAACGACCCTAATGCTAACTTACATTTATTCTGGACTCTGCTTTCAGAGCTACAGACTCCTGGGACTGAAGGGAAACCACCAGCTCTTCATCTTCCAGGGTATTCCAGTCCACAAATGAGGACACCTCTAGGAACACACGAATGAAACTACATTAAGGTAACACTTACAGCACATTTATTGAAGTATGAACATTGCATCAATTTCTTATGCTAACAGATACTTTCTAAACTATAATGCAAGTGATTTTATGCCAATTTTATTTCCCAGTTTTATTTCAGCAGCGGGTAATTTTATGACCTTTTTTATACTGTTTCTCTATTTTGCCTCTGGGAACAAGAGAAGTAAGTTATTACACAATTTATCCTCAGCATTACTTGCAATGTTTTACCACTGCAGTGTTTAAAACCACTATGACACTACAATTTTAAACTGAAGTTCACAAACTAAGGTTTGACATTGCCCTATCCAACCACAAACTCTTCAAAAATACTTTTTAGGAAACAGCATTCATCACCAGCATTCCAGTGTTCTCAGTAATTCCAGTATCTGAATGACAACCCAGGTTAAGTGAAGCCACAATAAATTCAGACATTTGTGTGCTTTGGTGTTCCCAGCACCAGGAAATTTAGCAGCCAGAAACACAGTACAGTGTGAAGTTGCTTCAAGCTGTTTAGATTCAATGAATTAATTTTATAGGACTGTATTAAAATAATTTTTATACCATTTCAGACATCTTCCTTTTATAAGAATTTTCATTGTAATTGTAAAAAAAAAAAAAGTTTACCAAGGGTTTGACTGTCCTTGAGCTTTCCCACAGCAGCTGCCAAGGATGATGTTTCACACTTGTACATAATTACAGTCAGCACTTTCCCATGAATTAGAAAAAATTTTTCCTCATAACACCACAACTGCAAAACATTAAAATGTATCATAAATGAGATAAGCAGAAAAGTGAGTTCCTACACTCATGTGTAACCCCTTACTGTAAACTTCAACTGGAAGTCAGTGATCAGATTATTTTAAATGATTTTCAGTAGATTTAACATTTGTTAGCAGCAGAAATGACAAGTGTTGAGTATTTTTCCAGGTATATCCTAAAATATAGTGGTTGCTCCAAGGCATTAAGTCCTCTGAAAATGTCACATTTTAAGTTTCCTCTTGTGCAATTTTAAGACTAAAGCAGTCAGCTGTTCTGGTTCACTAGTGCATTTATTCCTTAGGTGTCATTTCACCTACTTGACTCTTGAATAGTTTGAAGTGCTGCTCAGGTGTTCATAGAATCATTTAGTTCTTCAACTGCAAATTGCCTGAACAGCACAGACACTGCTGGGTTTTGTGTTCAGTGATTTTATTCACACCAAGTAATAATGATCATGAGAAGTGACCAAGTACTAAACGATCACAGAAATTCCTACAGGCCACCACTCTCCCAATGAATATTCTGACAAAGTGCTCATTAACTGGTCAGTATTAATTTTGCTGCAGAAGTTGCAATTACTGCTCCTCCAGCAGCAGCAGCAGAGCTCTGCAGTCCCTTCCCTGCTGTCAATGCACAAAGCTCAAGGACCCCAAAGCCAAGGCTGAGCTTTACCTGGCCGCTAGTCCCCATGGGCAGCTCCTTTGAGGTTTGCAACGTCTGAAATTTTGTATTCCATATTGTCAGAAGTTCTGAGGGAAGTAACAGATAGATAAGACCAAAAAGCAATGTAAGTACTACACTTGCCTTTGCTACTTTCAGTTACAAAAGCTGCAGGAAACAGAAATAACTGTTTCAAAACAGCTCAGCCAGTATTTAGCATTAGGACTTACATCACTCAGGTTAAATTTCAATTCGAAGAAAAGTTGGTTTTCCAGGGAAGAGCTTTAAACCAGAGGTTGGGACAAGAGGGACAGCACAACTTTCCCACCCAGTGCTTTGCCCAAGGAAACTTTAGACCTTACAATATCTTAATATGATTTTTCAAGTTACCATTGGGTTTTGGCCCGAGTGAAGGCAGACTGCCCAACACTGCAATGTGGTCTTTGTCCAGGACAACTAAAGATGCTGCTTTCAGAACAGTTCCAGATACTGAAAGTTTTAGTAGTAGTGACTTGGACAAAATTTCTTCTTTCTCTTCTTCTTCAGTATCTTGCTGTAGAGGTATCAGAACCTGGTATACACAGCCACTGGAATCTGTCAAAAGAAAATAATCACTCATTTCCAATTTTTTTTTGGTGGAAAAAACCTGTTTGATATCATATGGCAAAAGGACATTAAAAAAAACCCCACAATATCCAGTTAATGCCGAAAGAGTAATTAATGCAGGACATTTAAGGGACTTAAAATCCAAAGCAGCAAAATAAAAGTACAGCAATAAAGGTGCAGTGAGGTCTGCAGGGTACAAGTGATTACAGGTAGGAACAGTTGGCCTTTGCTACCATTAAAGTACCAGGAATCTTTCATTACTACTTTAGCTGTTTTAGAAAGTTTAAAAAACTAAAAATATTAAACAGAATTTAATAAAAATGAAAATTTATGCCCTTTCATACAGTTCTTTGCTTCATTATCACAACCCATTAACAAATATAACTTACACAAACACAGAAGTGTGACAGTTTGGTTTGTTATATGTGCTGTGAAACGCTGTGGCCTGGCTAGTTTCTGTTGTTCAAGCTTGTATTTGTGTAGACTACCCAGCTTAGGTTTCTGTACGTAGATAAAAAAATCCTTATCCTAAAATAAAAAAAAAGAAAATTTTCCTTTAATTTACACAAAGATGATATAACAGAAATTCAGATATCAGTACTGCTTAACTCTGGATGTTGTGAAAATTAGGAAATTGTGTTTTCTATGGGACATACAGAATCATTTGGAGTAGTCTGCAGACTAACAAGTAAAGAAAATTCTTATTTGATTCAACAAATGGATTTACAGGAAGAAGCATTTGCATAAAGACAGATTCATGTATAATTCCTTTTTCAGAAACATACATCCTATTCAAAAGATCTTCACAATGGGTGATGAAGAGTCACACAATGTCTACTGTACTTCATCTTATTAATTGTTTTCTGCAGTTCTGAGAGCCCAGCTTCTCAGCCCTGAATGCAACACAACTTCCATTTAATGCTGTGTTGATTAAATCAGGATAATGATTCCACTAAAAGCGCTTAAAATCAAATGAAAGCAGTGATGGATTTTGAAAAAAGCACTGAGGTGTCCTGCTATGAGAGTTTTTAAAATAAAAAGTATTTAACTCACTTTCTCAGTAATGAAAATTATGACAGGTTGTTGGCCTTCCATAAAAGCTCCACTCCACCTAAAATCAGAAAGCTGGATGAACATCCTCCAAATTCTAGGTTTATACATAAAGCCATATCACTACACACTAGGCACCTTCTGATTTTTAGGAAATCTCTATAAATAACTCTAAGATTTTAAAAACAAAGTGTTGGGAGAAAACACCCAACTCCATGATCTCAGTCTTTGATTTTCCCCCATCCCCTCAAAAGAGGGAACAACTTTGATCATCACAGTCATTTCCCCCGAGCAAGAACCCCACAAAGTGGCCCCACTCACCTGATGACCTCAGCTGAGATGAGGTCCTCAATCTCCTGCTGAGGGGCCTCGAGGAGCACATCCAGCGTCCGAACCGCCCCTCCCCTGAACAGCACCAGCGGCCCGCCCTGGGGCAGGGAGTGGATCCTGTACACATCTGCTGAGAGCTGCAAGAGCAAAAACAAACTGTTCTCTGCTGCACCACCCTGAAAACCGAGTGCTTGGTTCATTATTCTCACTTTTGCCAATAAATTTTTAACAGAAAAATTATGAATCTTTAAGATGCTTAGAAACGTAGATCTGAACGTTGCAGATTTGCTGAAATGCCACAAATAATGCAAATCATTACCCAAAAAAAAGCCAGGAAAATGTCCTGATGAGCATCACATTCCTGAATCACATCAGGAAATACATAACAGGGTCAGGAGGTCATACAGCTGCACTACAGCAACACACAAGGTGATGTTTAACACATCAACCAGCAGAACATGAAGATCTGTGACTGAACACAATTAGAAAGTCCTCAGAAATGCTGGCCTTGGCATAAAAATCACTTTAAGAGAAATATTCTGATTATAAAGTCAGAATACTTGCAATACTCCACAACATCATGAAGCACAAGGTAAGCTAAAATGTAATATGGCCAATACTATGAAAATTGGAGCAGTTTTTACCTCCACAATAATCCAAAACACATAAAAGAGAACAGCTGAAGGAGACTTACTGTTGCTTTAAAGGCTTTGTCCAAGTTCATGTCTTCATTCTTCCATATTCTTAAAACCTTTAAGAGAAGCATCATTTTTAGGTAAAACAGTAACACACAGACTCCTCAGCACTCAAAACACCAGGACCTGCACCAGGAGGAAAACACACAGGGAGCATTCATAGCAACCTGAGTGGGAACTGCCCCGGGGGGGAGCAGAAAGAGCAGGAATAGAAACCAAGCTCAGAAATCCTGAGCTGGAAAGAAAGGACAGGAGAGAATAAAGAAAAAGACACAGCAGAACTGTGAATTAAAGTGGATCAGAGTGATGGAGACAGGTGAGATACAGATGGCCTGATTTTCACAAGCAATGCAAGGCCAGAGTGATATTTCATCAACAGCAATGAAAAGCCAAAGGCTCAGCACGATCTAAGCAAATGCTACATAAACACAAGAGAAACTTTAAACTGTGAAACGAGCAGGAAAACAAGGATGGGGGTGTGAACTTTTGTAACCATTCCAGTACCGTGATAACAAATGCCACCCAGGCTGCAAGAGAAGTCACTGGTCCTGAGGGAGCGCCTGCACCAGGCATGGAGCATCTCCTGTGCCTGAGGGCCACCAGGCCATGGGGCCCAGCACAGACCCTGCTCAGCTCACCAGTGTGCTGAGGGCTCCCCACACTGCACCCAGAAATGTCACACTGCTGATTTTTCCTACCTCCATTCCCTCAGGAGGACCCACCCACTCCTCTGTCCCTCTAGAAGGATGAGGGCTCTCACCTTGTCGTCGTGAACTGCAATGTACTCGTGGGTTTCAAAGTTGCACACCACAGGACAGGTGAGAGTCTGCCCATGTTTAAACGACCAACAGCCCAGGGGCTTCTGATCCGAAATCTACAGTCAGAACAAACACAATGCAGTTCACATGTAACACGTGCAAGACCACTCTGGGGATTCTCTCATGACAGAAAGGAAACGTGAGGCAGCCACCTCTGACCTGAGTGAGAATACTGAAATATGGAAATGCTTTACTCAGAAATTCCTCTTGAGCATTCCTGTTTCCACCTCTAACACCAACAATTTCAGAATAACAGGAAAGAACTCTACATTAATTGGATTTCTTGTCACGTAAGAAATAACTTTCACCTGTAACAGTCTGAAGGGGTTATGTCGTGAAGCACAGGTACAAGGCATGGCTTTTTCCAAGGGCAAATACTCATTTTATCACTAGTGTGATTTATTTTTACTGACTAACAAAACCACACACACTTGTGCTTTTTCTCTTCCTATTTCCAGGTGAGTTGTTGGGACCAAGAGCAGTGGATTTTGCAGTCTGAGCTCCTGCTCTGTGCGATTCACAGCCGAGGGCACTGGAGCCCCTCTCCTCCCTCCAGAGCACACTGGGTGTATTTACAACACAGTTGTGTTGTCACATATGGTCTTGGCAGTGAGAATAAACAACCCAAGGGAGGTTGTACCATCAACCCACCTAGATCCTGGCATGGTTTGGGCTGAAGGGACTGCAGACCACCAAGTCCCACTCCTGCCATGGCAGGGACACTTCCACTGTCCAGGCTGCTCCCAGCCCTGTCCAACCCGGCCTGGGCACTGCCAGGGATCCAGGGGCAGCCACAGCTGCTCTGGCACCCTGTGCCTCACCACCCTCACAGGGAACAAATTTTTTCCAATATCTAATCTAAACCTACTTTCTGTCAGTTTAAGCCCATTCCTGCTTGTCCTGTCACAACAATCCCCAACCGTGGGGATGTGATAGTCAACTAAACACAGAAATTCAAATACTTGTCTTAAAGTTTCTTATTATGGTCTACTGAATAACAGAGACCAGAACACATTTTCACTTTCAGGTGCTGCAAGCTAAAGTCTTCCTGCAGCTGACACTGAGCGGACAGCCCAGAACCTGGCACTGAGGGAACACGCTGCTGTGGCTTCGGGAAAGTATTTTTTTGGGACGGGGAACGGACAGAGCACATCAGCTTTCAAAAGGAGAAATACCGCGCCGCGCTCCCGAGCAGAGGGAGCGCAGGGGCAGACACGGCCGGCCCGGAGCCGTTCCTCCGCCGCTCCCCGCCCGGGCTGGCGGCAGCGGACAGCGGGGCCCGGCCGGACAGGCCGGGAGAGGGAACGCGGGAGGCAGCGCGGCCCCGGCCCTGCCCGGCACACCCCCACGCCGGGGCCGCTCCCCGAGCACGCGCGCGGTACCTTGAAGAGCGTGGCGGCGCGGCCGCCCTCGGTGAGCAGCACGAGGTCGCGGCCGGGGCCGGGCTCCAGGCACAGCCCGGGGCCGCCGCCGCCGGGGCCCGGCCCGCGCAGCGTGAAGCTCTCGCACAGCGCCGGCTGAGGAGAGCCACGGCGGGGGTGCGCGGGACAGCGCCCCCCAGCGGGGCGCGCCGGGCCCGCGGGCGCTGCCCTCAGCCGGGGGTGCCGGGCGCTCCCTCGGCAGGGCCGGCCGTGTGCCCATGAGGGCTCGGATCTACGCCAATGAATCGGCCACGGGCAGACGAAAGGGGTCGAGGCTGTGGTAATGAGGGTCACGCGTGTGTTAATGAGGCCGTCACGTGCGCGCCAATGTGCCCGGGGACGGGCGCTGAGGGCTCCGCTGCGGCGGGCGGGGTGCGCGGCATGAGGGGGATTGTCCCCTTCGAGGCACAGGGGGATTGTCCCCTGGGCAGCGGCACGGGGGCATTGTCCCCCTTGAGGCTTTTGGGGGATTGTCCCCCTTGAGGCTTTGGGGGATTGTCCCCGGGCAGCACAGCCCGGCCCCCGCACGGTCCCATTCGCGTTTTCACCGCTCTGTATTTTCCGTGTAGGATTTTCAGTGTGCGCAGATCTCGGGGCAGCCCCACCCGGGAGCAGGAGCCCAGGCTGTGGAAGGTCAGTGCGGGTCTCCGGGGTCCCTTCGGGCACTGCCCCCCCGCTCGACACGCCTGGCTCCGCCGTGACCCAGCCGGGATGTCCCCGGGCTGCGCGGGCTCTGTCCCCTTTGAGCCCTGCAATTTCCAGTGTAAAACACTTGCAGTCCCCTCTGTTCCCCCTGCCCTGTCCCACGCTGCCCGGAAGCTTTTCCCTCCTGAATGAGCGCTGCCATTTCTCTGGAGCAGGGAAAGCTTCGTTTCTATGGAGGAGGTCTCTGTGTAAAAGCTTATAAAGAACCCTTGTGCAAGGGAAACTTCTGCTGACTGAAATGAGCTGACTTGGAGACAAGCCTGAGAGGATTCGAGCGGTCTCTTTTCCAGTATTTTCCAGTTACTTGGTACAACACTGAGCTGCCAAACCCTGCATAAAGAATTAGATTCCCCAATGAAAAACTTCCTTGTCAGCCAAATGGCCATTTACAAGTGAATGGGCTCATGCCAGACCGATGGGGCACCTGCCCCGGTAAAACCTTTACAGAGCTGGGGCACAGCAGAACCCAGGAGAGGCTCTAAGTGCTTTAAATTTTCCTCACAAAGTTAATTCTTTGTGCTATTGAATTCTGAGGAAGTGACTTGCAGAGCTGGGGTAGAAATGTCGGTGTTACTTGCTAATGAGGAGGTTTCTGCTTACAGGAGACCCAGTAAGAGAAAACAGCCACAGTTGTAAAGAATAGTTGTTGGTAGTTTATTTACAACAAAATGCAACGAAAAATACAATATTAAAAATAATAAATAACTTGGAAAAAAACCAGAAACTAAGTGATATGAGAAAAATGACAGTCAAATTCTCCTGCTGAGCCTTGCACTATTGAACGTGCAGAGCAAATCAAGACTTGGTCCTTCTTTGACAGTGGTGATGCATTACCTGATGTTGCCATCAGTGCTCTAAATAAAAAGAAATTAATTACTGGACGTAACAGAATCACGTGGAATTATCACAGAAATGAAATAAACCAGTAAAACCTGCTTTAGTGACACCACAAAACTACAGGAGATCATAATTCAATGACCATGCTGTTCATTTAAAGCAAAACATTGTTAGACTTATTTAGCAATTTTAACTTACACATAGAAAACCAAGTCCAAACAATGGCAACAGAAAATCTCCTATTGACAAGATTTTGAATTCTCTCTTACTGCACTCACTAATTCATAAAAAGCATATACATTTGGCTTATTTCAAAGGATAACACATTGTTTTGAAGTTCTAGTGCAGCAAGCTTCAAAGCAGTTTTAGCAAAGTATAGCGGTCTTGTTACAAACTGAAATTCAAGGAACAAATATTTCAGTTTCAAAGTCTCTACAGCAGCAATTAATGCAAATTGGCTACTAGATGTCACAAAATCACCTTCCAGAATAATCAAAAAAGCCAAAGAACAAGGTCAAATAGTTTCTTTCCATAGTATTTATCCAGTCCTTTACAAAGTTAACCATTACATTCATAAGAAATCCCATTAAGTACAGGTTTCAGGAACAACTTTTGTGGGTCCCTCCCTTTTTGATTTTTTAGGAGATTGACCCTTCTGAAGCTGCACTGAATTGCCAGTTGTTTTGTAATGATTGTTCTGTCCAAAATACACAAAAGTACAAGCAAAGCCTGGAGGTTTTCATAGAAACCTGAACAAACTCATCCCAGTTTTTGCTCTGAACTGTATTCTCCTTGATAAAAAATTCCTTGATAAGTCCTAGCAGAGCTGCATCACGGGGTTCTTGTCACTGTGGCAGAGAAGAGGAACACAGGCTGTGTTCACCAAGCTCTGAGGCTGCACCCAGTAAATAATCACAGCGTTTATTTTTGCAAACAAAGTGAGGAACACCTGCAAAACTCTCTATTTTAATCCTAATAAACGTGTCTGAAAACACAAGAGAAAGGGAAAAATCAGCACTGAAAACAACCCCTTCTCCTCAAGGTGTTACACTGAAATACTCAGACCTTCCTTCTCATTTCATTTAATTTCATTTCATGTGTGCCTGCTGGGAATATTCTAGAAAAAGCTATCTTACCCTAAATAGCAGCCAACCAAACAGAGAAAGGCATTTAGAGATCCTGTCATTGAGCAGATGGGTGATGACTGCTGGGGAGAGCAAGGCAGAGCTCAGCACTAGGCACTTCCACAATCAGTGAAAACCTGGGGTGTTCTTATCCAAAGCAGGGACACATTGCAGATCTTTTAATTGGCCTTGGCTGGGCAGCAGCACAGGCAGAGTGGCTGCTCCTGACCCTGCCAGTGTGGGGACACTAAGGCTGGGCACAGCAGGGACAGTCCTGCCACTGACACTCCAGGGTCTGTCTCTTACATCTCCACCAGGCACATACTCAAATCTGTCCTGTTTAATGAATTGCACAAATTACTTGTCCCCAAACCTACTTAATATCATGAGCAATATGTTGGAAATCCATCAGTTAAATACGAGGAAAGATGGAACTGCTGTGGTCCCATAATCTGTGTCAAAGCCAGATTGCAAAACGTGAGTAGAAACAGTCACGTGTGAGCACCAGGACACTGAACAGAGCTGAGCAAATTTGTACTGGACAAATTAAAAATCCATTGAAACAGACTTTCAGGTGCAGCAGACCTGAACTATTTCTGTATGGGCCAAAGTCAGGCAATGAGAAAAGAACCAAACAATGTTTTATGTTTTTAAAGGTTTCCCTTTGCTGCCAGTGTTCCAATGCTGATACTAAATCAATAGTAACAATAAAAAATAAAAAATTACACATCATCCTACGACTCCATAATGTGCACCCTTGTTAAGCTGAAATCATAAGCCAATGTAGAAAAGTTTTGTTTTCAGTATTACAGCAGCTTCTTTTTAAACAAAACAGCATCACCCATCAGGTCACCAACGAGTCAGAATTACCAGCTCTGTGAAGAAAAGCAAAGCCAAGCATGGACAGGACACAGGAGAAGGCAGGAATTCAGACCACAGCAAGCCTGCAGAGAGCTCCTGGAT